AGAATATTCATACATTTCAAAGCAAAAGTATTATGTCTGAGTACATATCCTCCTGAGGGATATAATTCCTATGTGATGTATGTACATTACCTTTTTATAACCTGAAAAACTCACTAACTCATTTAATCCCGCAGGTGCTAGATAAAAGTTGTGGCCCTAAACTTTCACAGCTATAAGTGAGACAAAAATTAAATTTCCACATTACTAGAGTCAGTAAACAGGCATTCATCTTTTCTCTTACAGACCAGCTCTTCATTACATCAACTAAAAGGACAGACTGTCTTCAACAATCCCCCTTTTTCTCTTTTACTTTTTTATTTTTAACTGGAGTCTGCCGCCCAAGCTGGAGTGCGATGGCACACTTACAATAACTGCAGCCTCAGCCTGCTGGGCTCAGGTGATTCTTCTACCTCAGAATTCCAAGTAGCTGGAAACACAGGCATGCACCACCATGCCCAGCTTATTTTTTTAATTTATTGTAGAGATGAGGTCTCACCAAGTTGCCTAGGCTGGTCCCAAAGCCCTGGACTCAGGTAATCTTCTCACCTCTACCTCCCAAAGTGCTGGGATTACAGGCATGAGCCACCATGTGTGGCAACAATCCTCCTCTTATAAGCAATATTCATCCTGTATGATCTCTGCAGGTCATCATCCAGTCTCAAATACTGGCTGCCATTTTTCATTTTAAAAAGTTCCCTAGTGGCCAGGCTCAGTGGCTCAGCCTGTAATCCCACCATTTTGGGAGGCCGGGGCAAGTGGATTGCCTGAGCCTGTGGATTCAAGACCTGCCTGGACAATTTGGTGAAACCTCGTTTCTACAATAAATAAAAAAATGAGCCGGGCTTGGTGGCTCAGCCTGTAATCCCGCACCTTGGGAGGCTGAGGTGAGTGGATTGCCTGAGCCTGTGGTTCGAGACCCGCCTGGGCAACTTGGTGAGACCTCATCTCTACAATAAATCAAAAATTAGCTGGGCGTGATAACGTGTGCCTGTAGTTCTGGCTACTTGTAAGGCTGAGGCAGAAGGATCGCAGGAGTGCAGCAGATGGAGGCTGCAGTGGCCGGGAGTGGCCACTGCACTCCAGTTTGGGCGACAGAGTGAGACTCCAACTCAAAAAAAAAAAAAAATGAGCCAAGCATTGTAGCAAGCGCCTATAGTTCCGACTACTTGGAAGGCTGAGGCAGAAGGGTCACCGGAGATCAGCAGGTTGACGCTGGAGTGGCCGTGAGTGTGCCTCTGCACTCCAGCCCTGGGTGACAGAGTAAGACTCCAACTCAATAAATTAATTAATTAATTTAAAAGTTCCCTCTTTCACTGAAATTCACATATAATCTTTCCTTTTTTTTTAATTTGTAAAGATATGGTCTTAGTATGCTGCCTAGACTGGCCTCAAACTCCTGGGCTCAAGCACTCCTCCTGCCTCAGCTTCCCAAACTGCTGGGACTACAGGCAAGTGATACCACACATGATCTTTTAACAAGTAAATGTTAAAGTTCCCAGAATATCTGATTGCTCCAAGAAATATTCTTCAGCAGATATATAAGGCGTAAGCTACACTGCTGTGAAACCTAAACTACCCTTTAATATTCCTCACACGAGAGGAAATCACAGCTACTCTCTACATACATCTCTACATACTCTCTATATACATCACAGATAATGATCCATTCCATGCATACTGGGAACATACTGAGTGTCAAGCACTGGGGAACCAGGACGGAATAAGACAAATAAGACAAGGCTCCTGCTAAGATAGAGCTAACTCTCTAGTGAGAAGAATAATATACACAAAACCACTGAGAAAAAATATCAGTGATAGATCCAATGCCAACTAACAGGATATCATGAAAAATGAATAAGTGGTGATTTTAGATCGAATGGTGAAACAAGGCCTCAAAGAGGTGAAACAGAAGCTAAGAACAAAAACCCAGAAGACAAGTGAGAATCAGAGGGAAGAACAGTGAAAAGACCCTGACACAGATAAGGCTGTCTTGGTCAAGGACAAGAGAAAAGCTCAGTGTAGCTATGGCAAAATAGGGTAGATGGAGAGCAGTACCAAATGAGATCAGACAAACAGCCAAGGGTCAGCTCATGCAGAGATTTTTTAAGTCAAACAAGGCGCTAGGAATTTCTTCCAAGTGACATGGAAGGCCATAAGAAGGTTTTAGGCATGGAAATAAAATGATCTGACTGATATCTTCAAAAGTTCACTCTGCTTGTCACACAGAGACCTAATATAGATAACATGAAACTAGGTATCCAATTTTTCACTAAAAAAAGAAAAACTATACATATGTTAAATATACTATCATATCATATAATAAAATGCCAAGAAAAGATTGCATTTACTGAAACATGTTTTTTAACACACTATCATAAATGTGTATCATGTGCATCAATGTCTTTCATCTGCCAATTACAAATCTAATAGCTACCACAGCCAGCAAACTTAAGAATTTCCTTTTGGGATCCTATATGTTAATATAATTTTTACTCGGCTGACAAATCTGAATATATAATTAGAATGTTAATGAGTACTAAAGAAACTAAAAATGCCAGGCACAGTGGCTCACACATATAATCCCAGCACTTTGGGAGGTAGAAGCGAGAGGACTGCCTGAGCCTGGGGGCTTGAGAACAGCCTGGCAACTTGGCGAGAACTCGCTGCAACAAATCAAAAAATTAGCAGGCATGGTATTAGTGTGCGCCTGCAGTTCCAGCTACTTGGAAGGCTGAGGCAGAAGAATTGCCTGAATACAGCAAGTCGAGGCTGTGGTGGCCGTAAGCGTGCCACTGCACTCTGGCCTGGGCAACAGAACAACTTAAAAAAATTTAAAAGGCCTGGCTCGCTGGCTCAGTCTGTAATTGCAGCACTTTGGGAGGCTGAGGTGAGTGGACTGCCTGAGCCCACGGGTTCGAGACAAACCTGGGCAACTTGGCGAAACCTCACCTCTACAATAAATAAAAAACTTAGCTGGGTGCAGTAGTGCGCGTACCTGTAGTTCAAATACTTGAAAGGCTGAGGAAGAAGGATCACCAGAGCCCAGCAAGTCAACACTATGGTGGCCATGACCGTGCCACTGCACTCCAGCCTGGGCGACAGAGCAAGACTCCAACTCAAAAAAAATGAAATTGATAGTTTGAACCTTTGTTAAACATTAAGACATCTCTTCTTTCCTAAATATAGCAATACTTAATGAAAGCACAGTTAATGAAACAAGATTGAAGCTGAAGCTATTATCCTGTGAATTAAAAAGCATCTCTAGCCTGTAAATTCTATCGTTAGTGCCCAAAGAAAAGATAAATGAACTATAACCAACAAAAGTGAGGTGTATAAGAACAACATAACTACTCTTAGTCATGTTTCTACAAGTTTGGGGTCAATATTTTTAAAACAGAGAAATAATTGGTTTTATGAGAAATAATACTTCTGAATTTGTTCTCAAATAACAGAAAAAATATTTCTGAACTTCATACAAATGTCATATCCTTTCAAGCACAAAAATTTACTTTCGTAGATCATTTTTCTTTGCAGAAACAATGTGAAGAAGCTATCTAGTTAATGTAAAAACTTCATTTCATGGCAAACTGTTTAAAGGCAAGCTATATCTTCAAAAATACAACATGCTCTTATTTAAAAAATTTGCTAATTGAATTATTACAATGCTAGGTTCTGTGAAAAGACTAATGCTCTATATTCTTTCATTTAAAATCTACAAAATAGATCACTTAAAGATTATCTTTATTTTTAAACCAATTTTTAATTATGTAGTCCTAAAAATATTGGCCAAAACCTTGAATGCTTGGCACTTCACTTTTAACTACTTTTTCTAAGATTATTATTTTTTTTTTTTTGAGTTGGAGTCTCACTCTGTTGCCCAGACTGAAGTGCAGTGGCCGCTCCCGGCCACCGCAGCCTCAACCTGCTGGGCTCCAGCGATCTTTCCGCCTCAGCCTTCCGAGTAGCCGGAATTACAGGCATGCGCTAGCATGCCCGGCTGATTTTTTTATTTATTGTAGAGATGAGGTCTCGCCAAGCTGCTCAGGTGGGTCTCGAACCCGCGGGCACAGGCAATCCACTCACCTCAGGATTTTTTTTTAATTGGAGTATCACTCCGTCGCCTAGGCTGGAGTGCAACAGCATGCTCACAGCCACAGCAGCCTCGACCTGCTGGGCTCAGGTGATCCTTCCGCCTCAGTCTTCCAAGTAGCTGGAACTACTGGCATGCACCACCATACCCGGCTAATTTTTTTGATTTATTGTAGAAATGAGGTCTCGCCAAGTTGCCCAGGCTGGTCTCGAACCCATGAGCTTGGGCAACCCTCTAACCTCGGCTTCCCAGAGTGCTGGGATTATAGACATGAGCCACCACGCCCAGCCCCTATGGTAAGATTTAAAGGAACTGACTGAACTTGCAACTCTGAAATACTACTAGGAGGATATTCTGAAAAGTTTAATTTGTAGTTCACACCACAGAACAGATGTCAAAGAGAAAGCTTTTCTAGAACTATCCACAGATTTCAACAAAATATCTGTATCAGGATTCCATTCTTAAAGCAAAACTAAAAATTCAAAAAGCTGCTGATTTGTACAATTTCTCTGGAAATTTCACTCCGAAACAATGAAATGTAGTATTTTACAAATATACAGCAACTTTATTAACTTCTACTAGACTCAAACAAACATTCCACCACCATGAAGAACATACAAAGAAAGTTATATAATTTAATTAAAATATCAGGGACAACTGCTACAACACTCACTTTATATCTCATAGGTACTCAGAAGAACTGGAACATGCATCCTCATCGCCCACGTGTGGACAAACATCCACAAAGAACCACAGCTAAGACTAAAGCTGGTTGTTATTTGAAGGCACCAACAGGAGGCTTCTGGAAATCTTAACTGTGATTTCTTAAAAAAAATTGAGTAGCACATAATGCAGCGATCCAACAAAGACTCTCCCTAACCCAAGGCCACATACATGTCAAGAAACTCACCTGTGTTATACTCCTTCAACTGCAAGTTCTTTACAGGCATACCATCAGGAGTCCGGAAGGCATTAAGAATCTGCAAGAATATGGTATTTACACAAATGAGACAAATCACAGTTAAACACTGAATATTATATTTCTCCTACTAGCTTTTATTCTACATAAATTTAAAGCTATGATGATTACTTTATAAAAGCAAAATTTAACCATGAACACTCAGAAAATTTTAAAAATGTTGAGTAGAAAATAATTATTCAAAAGTCTCGAGTGTATAAGAAAGGCAGAAGAGCATAAACTTCAAAGCTCTGAAATCAGTTTGTCTGCATTTCAAGCCTCTCCTACTCTCTTGCTGACTAACCTTTCAGGGCCCAGTTTCTCATCTGTTAAACATAAAATGATGCAATGAGCTCATTACAGTGCAGGGGCACGGTACTCTCTAAGCATGAACTCCCTCACCCTGGTAATTTCTCTTCCCCATCTTCAAATGGACTATTCTCTCACTGTATTCTGACCTAGGCTCAAATGTCATTTCCTCAGTGATATCTCTCTAAGTGTCCAATCTAAAACAGCCCTAATTCCAGTGACATCCTAAACCTGTACTTTAGTTTTCTTCAGAGCATTTCTCATTGTCTGAAATTATGTTACCTATTTTTTGCTTGCTTTTTCAGTATCCAGGGAGGCAATGACGTTTTTTTCTTTCTTTCTTTCTTTCTTTTTTTTTTTTCTTGAGTTGGAGTCTCACTCTTGTCGCCCAGGATGAAGTACAGTGGCATGTTCATGGCCACTGCAGCCTCCACCTGCTGGGCTTAGGCAATTCTTCCGCCTCAATCTTCCAAGTAACTGGAACTACAGAAGCACACCACCACACCCAACTAGCTTTTGTGATTTATTGTAGAGACGAGGTCTCACTAAGTTGCCCAGGTTGGTCTCGAACCCTGGGACTCAGGCAATCCACTCGCCTTGGCCCCCCAAAGTGCTAGGATTACAGGCTGAGCCACTGTGTCCAGTTCTTTTTTTGGAGTTGGAGTCTCACTCTGTTGCCCAGGCTGGAGTGCAGTGGCACACTCACAACAACCGCAGTCTCAACCTGCTGGGCTCAGGTGATCCTTCTGCCTCTGTCTTCCAAGTAGCTGGAACTACAGGCACACGCCACCACATCTGGCTAATTTTTTGATTTATTGTAGAGATGAGGTCTCACCAAGTTGCCCAGTCTCGAACCCGTAGACTCAGACAATCCCCTCATCTTGGGCTCCCAATGTGGTGGGATTATAGGTATGAACCACCGTGCCTGGCTGGCAGTGACTTTATAACATTCACTGCTGAAGCCAGGTACAGTGGCTTATGCCTGTAATAATCCCAGCACTTTGGGAGGCTGAGGCAGGAGGATTGCTTGAGCCTAGGAGTACAAGACCAGCTTGGGCAATACAGCAAGACCTCGTCTCTACAAACAAAAAAAAAAAAAATCAAGAAATTAGACAGGCATGGGGGCATTTGCCTGTAGTCCCAGTTACTTGGGAGACTGAGGTGGAAGGGTTGCCTGAGCCCAGGAATTTGAGGCTGTGGTGAGTCATGATTGTGCAACTGCACTCCAACCAGGACAAGTATGAGATCTCAATTCAAAAAAAAAAAACTACTGCTGTATCACTCAGTACCTACAACAGTGCCTGGCTCACTGGCACACAGTAGTGGTTAATATTTAGAGTGAATGAATTAAGAGTACCTACTCATAGGATACTGCAATAGATGAGCTAATTATTCTAAGTATCACACAGTGCCTGTGAGCACTATTAGCTCTTGCTGTAATCTTCTGACCAATTCTTCCATTAGTTCAGCCATAATTTGCTCAGCCAATTTTTTGATATTGAACAGTTAGGTATTTCCCAGTTTTTACTATTGCAAATGAACTGTATCTTTGGCTGGACGCAGTGGCTCACGCCTATAATCCCAGCACTTTGGGAGGCTGAGGTGAGAGGACTGCCTGAGCCCACCAGCCTGGACAATTTGGTGAGACCTCATCTCTACAATAAATCAAAAAATTAGCCAGGCATGGTGACACATGCCTGTAGTTCCAGCTACTGGGAAGGCTGAAGCAGAAGGATCGCCTGAGCCCAGTAAGTCGAGACTGCAGTAGGGATGAGAGTACCACTGCACTCCGCCTGGGTGACAGAGTGAGACACCAACTCAAAAGAAATAAAAAATTAAACATTAAAAAATAATAAACTGCATCTTTTTATGTACTTCAGAAATAATATGCTCTAAAAGATGATTATCAGATCAGAAGAAAGCAATCATTTATCACAATTTTTAAAATAAATCTCACACAAAAATATTTTCCAAAAAGACCTACAAAAAAATAAATTTAAACCAGATGTCCTCTATCAAAGACACCTCAGTGAGTACATGTATAACTGACTGGTGAAATGTGAATAAACTGTATTATGAATTATATTGAGGTCAATTTCCAGGTTTAGATATTGTACCAGAGTGATACAAAATATTTTTTCAATTTTTTTTCTTTCTGCCTCATATGATCTGCAGGAATATACAAAATATTAACATTGTGAAAAGCTGGGTGAAGGATACACAAGATTTTTCTGTACATTTCTTTGTACCTTCCTGTGAAACTATAATTTTTCAAGCTAAAAAGCTTCCAAAAAATTATTTGGGCCAGATGCAGCAGCTCATGCCTATAATCCCAGCACTTTGAGAGGTGAAGGTGAGAGGACTACCTGAGTCCAGGGGTTTGATATCAGCCTGAGCAACTCAACAAGACCTTGTTTCTACAATAAATCAAAAACTTAGCTGGTAGCGCACATCTGCGATTCCAGCTTCTTGGAAGGCTGAGGCAGAAGGATTGCCTGAATCCAGCTGGTTGAGGATGCAGTGGCTATAAGCATGCCACAGCACTGCAGCCTGGGTAAGAGTGAGATTCTGACTCAAGAAAAAAAAAAAAACAAAATTAACTGACCAAAAGAGAGACCGAATACAAGCCTTACCTCTTCTTTTGTGGTATCTTCAGGCACTCCATTTAATCGAATAAGCCTGCTGGGTTTGTCCTCACTTGGGCCAGTCCTATAATCTTGATCCTTAAATTCAGAATGAAAAAGTATTTCATAAATACACATTAGTTTGCAAAATGAAACTCAATATGAAATATAGGTACTCAGGACCAAAAATGAAAATGACTTGTATCACATGAAAATATGAAAAATTATAACTTTCTCTATTGTTCTGAATTTCAAAATTTGACTTCAAATCATTAGAATACAAGTATGCTAGGATTAAGGCTCATTGAAGGAGTCTTGAAAAAGTAAAGCAAGTCAGGTGCAGTGGCTCACACCTGTAATCCCAGCACTTTGGGAGTCTGAGGAGAGAGGATTGCCTGAGCTCAGGGGTTCAAGACCTGCCTGGGCACCTTGGCGAGATCTCGTCTCTACAATAAATCCAAACATTAGCTGGGCGTGGTGGTGCGTGCCTGTGGTTCAATCTACTTGAAAGGCTGAGGCAGAAGGATCGCCTGAGCCTAGTGGGTCAAGGCTGCAGTGGCCATGAGCAAGCCACTGCACTCCAGCCTGGGCAACGAGACTTCAACTAAAAAAAAAAAAAAAAAAAAAAAAAAA